AAAAAAGGGGAAACCCAAAATCTGGGCTAGGGTTTGAGTTCCTTTTATGCTCGTTCAATAGAGAGGGAGACGACGGGCCCGGGCTTCTCGAGGACCCTTTTCTGGTTTCAGTAATGGGTCGTTGTCCTTTTGCCATGAAATGGCATCATCTCCATAAGCCGTCGCATCTCTTGCTCTTCATCTGCATCTTGCTTTCAGCTCAAAACGACGAGGTTTCAGCTTCTGATTCGGACAAATCCGCTCTCCTGGAGCTCAAGGCGTCGCTTTCAGACCCTTACGGGGTGCTCAGCAGCTGGGGTGCTCAGCAGAACCCGAATCACTGCTCGTGGTTCGGGGTTTCCTGTGATGCGGGTTCTCGGGTCGTGTCGTTGATTGTCACTGGTGGAGGTAATTCCTTGCCCTGTGCTAGAATTGCTAGGTTTCCGCTTTATGGGTTTGGGATTAGGCGACCCTGTTTGGGCAGAGGTAGGAAAGTTAAAATTTTGGGTAAACTTTCAGCGGCTGTTGCTAAGCTTAATGAGCTCAAGACTCTATCTTTGCCCTTCAATGAGTTGAGTGGTGAAATTCCTTCGGAAATTTGGGGAATGGAGAAGCTCGAGGTTCTTGACCTCGAGGGGAATTTGTTTTCGGGCTCGTTGCCTGCTCAGTTCAGTGGGTTGAAGAATTTGAAGATTCTTAACTTGGGATTCAATGAGATTTCAGGGGAAATACCACCTTCTTTGTCGAATTCTGTGGGGCTCCAAGTTTTGAATATGGCTGGCAATCAAATTAATGGATCCATCCCAGGGTTTGTTGGAAGGTTTAATTACTTGAGAGGGTTTTACCTGTCTTACAATCTACTCAGTGGATTCATACCTCTCGAAATCGGTGATAGTTGTGGGAAACTCGAGCATTTGGATCTTTCTGGTAATTACTTGGCCGGGAGTATTCCAAAAGGCATTGGGAACTGCAAAGGGTTAAAAACCCTTATTCTATTCTCAAATATGTTGGAGGAAGTAATTCCAGGCGAACTCGGCCAGTTGAGTCAGCTGGAAATTCTTGATGTGTCGAGGAATAATTTTGGAGGCCCTATACCTCTGGAGCTCAGTAATTGCACCAAGTTGTCTGTACTTGTACTCTCGAATTTATGGGATCCCCTTCCGGACATTTCGATTTTAGGAGGCGGTTATTCGGAGGAGAAGCTGGCCTATACTGCCGAAGAGTACAACTTTTACGAAGGTACCATTTCACCACGAATCACGAGCCTCCCTAACTTGAGGATGGTGTGGGGCCCACGGGCGACTCTGGAGGGAAAACTTCTCGATAGCTTGGTCTCGTGTGTCAGCTTGGAGGTATTGAATCTTGCCCAGAATTATTACTCTGGAAGAATCTTGGACGGCCTTAACAACTGCACGAAGCTGCGTTTTCTTGATTTGAGCTACAACAGGCTTAATGGGGAGATTGTTGATAACATCCCAGTTCCTTGTATGACTCTGTTCGATATCAGTGGGAATTATTTCTCGGGTAATATTCCCACATTCCGTAACCGGATGCCTTGTGATCCTGTTCGGTACAGCTTTAACAGTGACTTTTCATATCCTCAAGATGCTTCATCTGCATATATATCACATTTTATATACAGAACTTGGGTCGAAACCTCTCCGCCGTTTTACGACTATAATGATGGTGGAAATTTCTTCGTCATGCACAATTTCGGTTCAAACAACTTTACAGGCCCCGTGCAGTCTACGCCCGTCTCATCCGAAATTCTAGACAAGAATACTGTTTATGCATTTCTTGCCGGTGGAAACAAGCTGACCGGAAGCCTCGAAGGAGCTTTCTTCGATAAATGTGATCGTGCCGGAAGTATAATACTCAATGTTACTGACAACTTGTTGACCGGTCAAATCCCGGCCGATATTGCCACCACTTGCAAGACTCTGTCGATCCTCGATATATCCGGCAATAAATTTTCTGGAAGCCTTCCTCCTGCTATTGGCGAATCAGTTTCACTCGTCGTCCTTAATTTAAGCCGCAATTTACTATATGGTCCCATTCCGGCAAGCCTTGCCGGAATAAAGGATCTCAAATCCCTCTCGTTGACCGGTAACAACTTGGACGGTCCCATCCCGGCAAGCTTGGGACAGCTGTACTCCCTACAAGTGCTCGACTTATCCTCCAACTCGCTCTCCGGTGAAATCCCGAAAAACCTCGCCGACTTAAAAAACCTGACTTCTTTCATCCTGAACAACAACAAGCTGACCGGGCCGTTACCCAACGACCTTCTAAACATACCTACCCTCTCGATTTTCAATGTGTCCTTCAACAATTTAACCGGAACTCCGTTTTTCAACAACACCATGATCAAATGCGAAAGCTTTCTCGGTAACCCTTCACTCCACTGCCCGATTCTCTCAACCTCCCCGCCCTTTGCTGACCCACCAGACCGAAAAGTTGACCCAAGCGGCAATTTCTCGCCGTCCTCAAACCGTAAGCGGAGAAAAAACCATAACGGGTTCAAAACTGTCGAGATTGCCTCGATAACCTCCTCAGCCATTATCGTCTCGATCCTTCTCTCCCTAATAATTCTCTTTTTCTACACCCGAAAATGGAAACCCAGGTCGCGAGTCAGCACAACCGTCCGAAAAGAAGTCATAGTCTTTACCGACATAGGTGTTCCCCTCACCTTCGAAAACGTGGTCCGCGCCACGGGGAATTTCAACGCGAGCAACTGTATAGGCAACGGGGGATTCGGTGCCACGTTCAAAGCCGAGATCGCGCCAGGTGTCCTCGTCGCCATCAAGCGCCTCGCTGTCGGCCGTTTTCAAGGTGTCCAGCAGTTCGACGCGGAGATCAAGACGCTCGGCCGGCTTCGCCATGCGAATCTCGTGACGTTAATTGGTTACCACGCAAGCGAAAATGAGATGTTCTTGATCTACAACTACTTACAGGGAGGGAATTTGGAGAGGTTCATTCAGGAGAGATCGACTCGGGCAGTCGACTGGCGAGTCCTCCATAAGATCGCTTTGGACATAGCGCACGCGCTGGCATACCTGCACGACCAGTGCGTGCCACGTGTCCTCCACAGGGACGTGAAGCCGAGTAATATACTGCTCGACGAGGATTACAATGCGTACTTGTCTGATTTTGGGCTGGCCCGACTTCTAGGCACCTCAGAGACCCATGCGACAACTGGCGTGGCGGGGACTTTCGGTTACGTCGCGCCCGAGTACGCGATGACGTGTCGGGTTTCGGACAAGGCTGATGTGTACAGCTACGGGGTGGTTCTGCTCGAGCTGCTGTCGGATAAGAAAGTGCTCGACCCCTCGTTTTCTTTGTATGGGAATGGGTTTAATATCGTGGCTTGGGGGTGCATGCTCTTGCGGCAGGGCCGGGCCAAGGAGTTTTTCGCGAGCGGGCTTTGGGATGCTGGCCCGCATGATGATCTTGTTGAAGTGCTGCATTTGGCAGTGGTGTGTACGGTCGAGTCACTCTCAACGAGACCGAGCATGAAGCAGGTGGTTAGGCGGCTGAAGCAGCTCCAGCCTCCGCCTTGTTAGGCTGGCTGGTTTATGTAGACTGAAATTTAGTAGTAGAAATGGGAAGTGGATTCGAATTTTCCCGGTAGGGTTGAATTTGTAGCTACTTGTAAATTTGTAGTGATAGTTTCTTTTTTTTCCTTGTTTATCAGGCTGATGATGATTGGCAGGTTAGGAAGGTTTTACTGATGTTATTATCATCCTGCAGAAGAATGCAGATCATTCGTATTTGTTTTCGCACGTTGTATACTTGTATCTCTTTGCTTCTTCGTTGTTAAAGAGAATAAGATAGAGTTCAGATTTCTGAGGGGAAAGATCAAAGAAGGAAAAATCATCGGAGGCTCGGCTAGGGCCTCTTGGGTCGAGCGAAACGAACGGCTGTCACTTGTGTAAAGAGAGAAGAGATAGGTATGCATGTCTTCCGGATTGAACACAGCTTAATGTGATTGTGATATTTGGCCAATAGTTGTGATTTTGAAGCTTTTGAAGTAGTTGATAAGTTGCAGAAATGAATTGATCTTTTGGGAGTAGTTGTGATTTTGAAGCTTTAGTGTAGTAGTTGATAAATTGCAGAAATTAATGGATCTGGTGGGACTTATTTTGAAGCTTTGTGTAGTAAAAGAACATATATAATAGCATCAGACAACCTCAATTCCCAACATAGTGATACCAAATGATTTAAACAGAAAGAGGCAAAGAACTACATATCCTCAAAGGTCAACAGGGCTTTTTCCTTACAGAGACCCTTTTTCTTCTTCTCCTCCATCTAAGGGACATAAAAACAAAGTCTAAAAACAGTCGAACTAAGTCTACATAGTTTTGAACTTGGTTAAAAAAAGGACAATCATAAGAGGGGGAAAGGGTTAACAACAATGTGCTTCAACGGGTGCTCCACGTCAGCACCCCGAACACCACCATGCTCGACAAATTCCTTGGGCGTGAGAAAAATGCCATGACAAACGCACATGATTCTTACATCCTCGCCCTTTTTGTAACCGTACAAGAATCCTTCTACTCTGCGGCCATTGGGCCCGGTTTCTTTAGTGGTGACATACGGCATGTCGCGCATCGTGTTCTTAAGTTGTTGGCTGGTGGTGGCCCCTTTTGCTTCTGTCTCAGAGGCCCGGCCCATTGGTTCAGGCTCAGGCCCAGGCCCAGGCCCGTTTGAACTCTGCTTGCTGGAAGGCGAAACCTCGGCATTTTGTTTTCGGCCTGCTAAGCAAAGGATAGAAATCGTGAGAAGGGATACCGCAATGTAGTTCAAGTGATGCCAATTTCCAAACTGCTTGTCAAACATAGTTCTAAAACAGAGATAGTAAAGACTAATTTGCTATAAATCGAGCAGATCCGATTTCAGTTCAAAATTACATGAACTAGATCCACTTGCTCCCTTTTGTTCTTCTTCTTCTTCTTCTTCATCATCATATAACAGTAAAAGGGAAATGTATATAACCATATCATACAGATAAAGTATTATAACACACAGATTATGTGCAGTGAGATTGAGATTGTTCAAATCCACTTTAATTTACCTCCTCTTTGGGCATGATAATCAATATCTAATGCTCAGCTCATCCACACATCGTCAAATACAATGGAAAATTCGAGCTATCAATCGAAATCGAACAACAAACGGATCTGAACATGAGACGACATCGATCGAAGTCAAACAAATGACTTTCAGAGTCTCTTTGCATTCAAACACACCCCAGCCACATTTTACAGTCCCAAATGCACAAATTTTGCCATCCAGCAAAGAACAAATTAACAAGATAATAATTACAAACTAAAAAGACCCATAAAAGAAAGATAAAGGCACATCATTTATCTCTTATCCTTCTAAAGTCCTGATAATCAGACTAAAAACCCCATTAAATACAAGAAAAAAAAAATAGGTAAAATAAATTTAAAATCCATTACCTTCAATTAGATCAGAGGAGGCAGATGATCCGCTTCTCATCGGCCCGGCGGACCCTTGAGATGACGACTCGACAACCTCTCTATTCTCAAACCTTCTCAAAACCCCATTCCCTAACAACCTTTGACCAATCGAATCTCCATTAACGGGCTCATGCTGCAGCCCGTTTTTCCCGCCATTAGCGTCCCTCGGCAGCCTCAGATTTTTCATCTTCTCCATCCTCTTCTTCCTCGCCTCCATCCGCCTGATCGACTGCAGCTCCTTCCGCCGGCGCCACTCCTCCTCCGTCTCCACCGGGAGGGACCGCGTCCTCGACAGCGGCGGCGCGTGCGCCTCGGTCCCCGCGACGCGAGCGCCGGTCCCCACCGCGAAGGCCGCCGCGTCCGCTATGGAGGAGGCGCGCTTGAGCTTCTTGCTCCTCGTGGGGTCCACCCCGAACCTCCCGTTCGTCGACAGCCCCAGGCTCAGCTCCATAACCTCGTCCTCGTCCTCCCCTCTTCCTCCTCCTTCTTGTTCTCCCTGCCTTTTGTCTTCATTCGGACATTCGCTCTGTGTTTTCGCGAGTTTGAACAGCAGATCGAGCTTTTTCGAGCTACCCTCAGCTTCCTCCATTAATACAGCTTGAGAATCGAAACGGGTTCGATTTTCTTGCGGCCCAAATCAAGAATTTAGTGGGGCTCCATTTTTGTTCCCGGCAAAAAAACTGGATAAAGATAGGATTTTTCTCAATTCTAACACTCACCTGAAGGAAA